CTAATCCGAATTTTAGCAAACAAATTGCTTATCATAGATTAACCATTTTTTTTAGCGACAAATCGCTTAAAATCAATCTTTTGGCAAAATGCCTTAAAATGAACCAATTTTCGTCCAAAAGGCCTAAAAATCAACCATTTTTTAGCGACACATCGCGTAAAAATCGACATTTTGGCAAAATGCCTTAAAAATGAACCACATTTTCGGCCAAAGGCCTAAAATCAACCATTTTAAACGACCAATCGCTTAAAATCAATCTTTTGGGCAAAATGCTTTAAAACCAACCAATTTTCGGCTTAAAACCGTAAAATCAAGCCATTTTAGCGACAAATCGCGTAAAATCGACATTCCTAAAACAACACATTTTGGCCAAAGGTCTTCGTGGCATTAAAGCCTAAATCGTACATTTTGGCAAACTAATTGTCTAAAACAACACCTTTTGGCCAAAGGCCTAAAATCAACCATTTTAACGACAAATCACTTAAAATCAATCTTTTGGCAAAATGCCTTAAAATGAACCAATTTTTGGCCGAAGGCCTTAAAATCAACCATTTTGGCGAAAATCAAATCAACTCATTTTGGCCAAAGGCCTTAAAATCAACCATTTTGGCGAAAATCGCCTAAAATCAACATTTTTGGCAACAATTGCCTAAATCAAAAATCATTTTGGCTAAAAGCCATTAAAATCAACATTTTTGGCAACATGCCTAAAAATCAATCAATCTTTGGCAGAATACCTAAACAAAATGCACAAAGCATACGCACTTATGCACAAAGCATACACACTTATGCACAAAGCATACGCACTCATGCACAAAGCATACGCACTCATGCACAAAGCATACACACTCATGCACAAAGCATACACACTCATGCATTAAGCATACACCTTCAAAGCCCAAAGCCCTCCAAAGAAGGCCTATCGAACTACGTTGACTTTGATCCTTCCATTCAAAACGGAAGTACGTAGGCACGTTCGGATTTCCACACCGGTGGCAAGTCGAAATCACTTAAATCATTTCATTAATCCATCATTCAACCTTGCAAAGCCATTCACGTCTTTTGGTTTAGTTTATCAGCAGAATAGTCTCCGGATCCATCGGGTTTCCGTAGACCATGCTTTAAACATTGGGTTTAATTAAATCTAGTAATTAGGTAATTAAATCGGAGTATTTAGGGTTTTTTCCTAGTTTACCCTGAAATATTAAACAAGGTGGCGGCTCATCACACTCCTCACGTGCATTTTTCTTTTGTCATAATGCATCCACATGCCCTATGCTTTGGGAAAGGCGGGTCACATAATATATTATGGAAAATTATAGGTTGAATATAATTTGAACAATAATTGATATAAAGAATAGAGGAGAATAATTGTAATAATTGAAAAAGTCTTGTTATATCTCATGGGGAATAGAGATAAGGTGGATATTAAAAATAAATAATCATGAATAGTAATTGATGCGTAAAAATTTAGATTAGAAAATTTAGAAAAATTTAAAATTTAGAATAATTAGTTTAGAATATGTAGTTAGAAAATAATTTTATGAGTTATATTAATTGAATCCATATATTGAGCTTATAAATGTATTATGTAGAAGTGATAAGTGTTATTAATACTAATAACTGGGAATAAGAGTTGATGAAGAATCATGAGATTCAGCTTGAGATGGCGATGAATGTGAATAAATAAATGTAATGTCTTGATGCAAAGTAGTTAGAATAAGAAATTCCTATTACTTAGTGCATTTTTGTAAGTTACTTAGTTTATTGGATGGAGAAAGGGAAATATAATTACGCCTCTAGGGAACAGAAGGGTATCTGGAGTATTTTATATATCAATGAACTAACTGGGTTTTAATTTACTGCTCATTTGGAATATTGAGATTTGTGTAAGAATAAACAAGTGAATTTGGGATAAATTTTAGGGAGAAGAATACATACAAGTATTCAAAAAAATGAAAACATGAATTATAAGATTATCGGATGTGTTAACAAGATGGTCTAAGATTACATCTTCACTATACTTGAAGACCAACTTAAGTGTGTTAATCTGGTAATTTATTAATTTAAAATTTGCTCATGGAATGATTGAGATATCAATTAGGATGAGAGTCATTCATATATGATTTGGAGTCAATGTAAAGCTATTCAATGAAACCTATTCTGAATTTCTTAGCAATGGTGGAGAATTATGATTGAAATGAAATTGTGTTATAAATTGGCAGTTTGCGATATCAACTTGTGGTTACTCAATGATATATTATTATCTGAATCTTCATAGGCATTCATGGGATTAAGAATAAACATAAAATAATGGACATAATCTACTCAGGAGTTAAATTATGGTTTAACATTCTTAATCCCGTACTTAGTTAGAGCAAAAGGCACTACTTGTTTAGGATTCTTGATTTCTAGATACATAAATTTCGGTCTAAAAGATTGGTTAAAGACAGAAGAAATAGATAAATTGAATATAAACTACGATTTGGAGAATTTTACATCTTGAGTAAGATTAAAAAAAAAATGTAGGCTAGACTTCTTTATGGAGTTGAGTGTAATGGAATGGTGTGTGCATATTTTAGAAAATACATTAAGAATATTTGGCATGGCAACAGCTAACTTGACTAGTTGCATAAGTTCTTGTCATAATTAGTTAAGAAATGGTATAGTATGAATTCTCATTAGTAGGATTTGAAAAGGATTTGAAAAGAGATTGTATAATCTATCTCGTGAAAATGGTTAAGTTGATAAATATGTGATGAGATTAGGATAGAAGTCAGGATCTGATAGCAATTAGTTAGAAAAATGTCATGATTCTGTTGAAATAAGCTTGTGGTAGTGCCATGAATTTGTTCTCTTTAATTGGAAAGGATCGAATGGTACTTAATGGTAGAACTTGATAATAATAATAATAAGGATCCTAAATTGGAGAATAGTAGTAAATTTGAATATGTGGATGCAAGTATCAGAAGATTTAATGCTTGGTTTGTGTATGAGCATCTTATTGAGAAATGATCGTTGCCTATAATAGCTAGTGAGAGATAAATGAGGCGATACATCAATATAGGTCACATGATATATAGCTAATGAGAGTAACAACCTTTACTTGAGCGGAGGTTATGAGGAACTTAAATTCTTACGCTTAACAGTGAATACTAGAGTCGAATCTGTGCCTTGGGTTATGAATGTTTTACTCGATTTGACTTGTAGATATAGTACAACTCAAGTTTAAATTAACTATGGTGATAACTTTTAACAGTTGTTTTTAATAAATATATATGATAATGAGACTGTAATACCCTGAATTTTTATTTTCAAAAATTATCCAATTAAATTTAATGAACCGACAGCCTGGAAATTAATATTAATATTTTAATACAAATACTGTAAGAAACCGAACCGAAAACCGATTGAAAAAGGCCGAAAACCAATTGAAAACCAAAGATTTGGGTCGAATCGAATCGAATCGAACCGGTTCGACCCAAACCATCTAGAAAAATCTCTTTCTTTTTTTTATCTCCAGCGCTGCACCTCCACTCCTCACCCTCACCAGCGCCACACCTCCACTCCACCGACACAGCCACTGCGCCTCCTCCTCCCTTCCTCTTCTTCTTCTTCTTCTTCTCTTCTTCTTCCTTTCTTTCTTTCCTTCTTTCACTTCACTGCGTCTGCGATCTTGGCGAGGCAGAACAGCAGCAGCGTCGCGCGACACCTCAAGCTAACCGGACCTCCTTGCGTGCCACTGCTGCTCCCCGCTGCAGCTCGACGTCGCCAAGCTTGCCGTTCCGCCCCTCTCTCCGTTCGAACCAAGCGGAGACAGTAGCCTAGAGAGGGCTGCATCGTGCCTCAACGGATCTGTCGTGCCACCACCCTGCCGCCACTCCAGCGTGCCTCCGACCACCAGGAACGAGCCTGTCCAGCTTCTTCGCGCCGTCTCCGCCTCTCTCCGCCATTGCCAGTCGGATCTGACCACCAGCAATCACTGCTTTTCAATCCGACACGCGTAAAAACTCCCGATCTAGCAAAATTCGACAAAAAAAATCATATTTTGGGGTAAAAATTAATTTTTATAATTTTAGTTACTTGAATTAATTTTATTATTGTAGTTGTTAATTAATTTAGTTAATTTAATTTTAGCATTGTGAGTATTAATTAAAGTTAATTTAATTTTCAGTATCTGATTTATAATATAAATGTGATTCACTTAAAATCTTTTGATTAATTATTGGGGAATTTGATGATAATAAATGAATGGAATGAAATGAAGAATTGAGAATTAACGTAATGTTGATATGATATTCGGATGGAGGATAGAAAATTGAATTGATTGGTATTGCCCGATGATGGCTGTGTGGTTTGGAGTTATTAGACAAATTGTTGATATTTTAACAGGTGGATAATCCAATTTAGGGGAGAATGCTGCGAAATTTCGGTAGGAAAATAAAATGATTTGGTAGCTAAATAAAATTCAATTTAGAATTTAAATTAATATATAGAGAGTGGAAAATAGAAAAATTTAGAATATAAAATAAAATTCTTAGAGTGGTAAAGAAATATTTTGTCTGATAGAATTATTTTCTTTTGTGTCGTTCTTACTTTGCTTAAATCGCCCGGGTCCATCTAGTGCTCCTCCAGGACAGAATCAAAGCTAGAACTTCGCTCTCCATCGCAGTGAGTAATAATAAATAATGCATATCAACATGCATTTGCATAGCATTTTTTTTACAAACCTTATATATATATATATTTTATATTAAAGCTCATATTTACTTTATGTTGCATAATTGTATATTTGGATGTAATGTTCAACTGATCAATATGTTTGCATCTACTTGCAATTGGGTCACCATGGGTTTGTGAGACCGTTACTGTTATATGGATCCTGATTACCGTTACCGTTATATACCGTTACTGTTATATGGATCCATTACCGTTAGCCTGGTAAATGGGAGATCGACGCCCTCGTGTGCACCTACCGTTACCGTTACCGTTAACCACAGGTTGGCTTCTCGTCGCTGCGCACCGGACAGTCTAGATTTGATCACAGCCCGCAGGGTGGCCTCCTGTTGTGAGCGCCTGATGATCTAGATTGGATGAAGACCACCGGGTTGCCTCCTGTTGGTATGAAAAAGAAAAGAGAGAATGGAAAAACAATAAGAGGGCTGGTCAAGTGGAGGATAAAGACCGGTCCGGCTAGTATGGGGGATCGGGCTACCCTGGTGCACCATGTGAGAGGATGAGCCAGTGGGAGGACGGCTCACGGGGGTTCGGTGACCTCCACTGACTAATTTCCATGGTTGATGTGATTATTTGAATATTGTTTGTGGGTGCTGATGTGATGCCATATGATTGACTGTTGTGTGTTCATTCAGTATACTAGGGTGCATTTTGCTTGAGTGTATGTGGTGTATTATTTATTATTATTCACTGAGTTGCAAAACTCACCCCCCCAACAAACCTCTCAGGTACTAGGAAGCAGCGGATTCAACTGAAGCTCTGCACTCTTCTCAGGCAGAGTTATAAATGTAAACTTTATATTTCTGTTATTTAATTTTGGATGTATAAATTATTCTATTATCAGAATATTATTGAACTCCGCAGTTCTAGGGTTGTGTATTTCCAATTGGGCCTTGTCGTATGCATTGTTTTATAAACGGTTGGTTGTATTATGAGACACAGGAGAATCAGTATGCCCATATTATGAACGTGATTGATAATGACTAGACCCGAACTAAATTTTATTGGAGATAATTAAAATTGGGCTGGATTGTATAACATTTATTTACATTTATATCTTAACTTGTATGGGCTTACTGTTCCTATTAAATGGATTTACATTTATATCTTAACTTGTATGGGCTTACTGTTCCTATTAAATGGTATGGAATGTATAGTTGAGTAATTAGGCTTACTACGGGCCTCGGGGGCCTTATACTTACCTAGGCCTTAGTGCCGGTCCGGCCCACGGAAATGGGTCGTGACTTTAAGACTTTATTGAATTTGGATTTGTTTAGTTAAGTACTTGGATTAGTAGAAATAAAATAAATATTGAATTTGGATGTGCTAAATCAGGTTTGAACTGTTGGTCTATGTTCTCGGTTTTATTTTACCATCTTAGATATTGATCTGGATTATAATCCCTTCATACCATTTGCAGCATTTTGTCTTAGCTTTCTAATGAATTAAGTTGAACTCAATTTGGAGAACTATAGGTCACGTTATGCCCTAAAAACACAGCAAAGATCAAGGTAATGAAAATGCTGGAAATTTCTTGATTTGGAGCATTATTCACAAAACTCTCAAAATCTTGTCTGATTTATAAATAGACCTTCATCAAATGAATTAACATAAAATTACTTAAGAAATATTGAAAATGATGGGAGTAAACATATATATTTTTTTCCTTATCACATAGGCCATATAACTTACTTGTTTAGTATAATAGTATGATTATTTGTATTAAGAAAGGTTATGATGGAATTCTTTTACAAATATATATATTAAATATGAAAAATGTCTTTTATGATAAAAATTTTCTACGTTGAGTCATTTTGCGAAAAACATGAGTTTCATGATTTATGTGAATTATGAATTAAGAATTTATGATGACTTTGAGCACATATAAGTGATATTGGGACTTAAAGTATGATCTAAGATTAATTGAGTTTAAATGGCATGATGGGAACCTCTTATGAGAAATTTTCCTATGTATGACTATGTGAAGGAATGTTATGTATCCAAAGAGTCTTTATGCTATTAATGAATAATAAATCTTGATTTTTTTTTTTTTTATGTTCAATATGTAGTAGAAATGTGGTATGAATATCCTTATTACATCATAAGAACTTGTAAAATGCCTATGACTTAAGTCATTGGTAATTTTGGGAAAATGCAAAGTAAATGCATGTTTTGAGTATGTTTAAGTTATTGTGATAAATTATGTGGTTCAAAAGAATTTATGAAATTAAAGAAAATGTATGATCCTAGGAATGGTTTCTATGACTTAAATGTGCCTATGATTGAAAATAAGAGAAACTTGGGTTAATACCATGAGTTTTGCATGTTTTAACGCATGAATGTGCTTATATATGTTTGAGAACTGCTTAAATTGAATTAGTTGGTGACTATAGGCTTGATTTAAAAAAAATGACTTTCATGATAAGAATTTCCTATGTTAAGTTTATTATGCTAAAGTATGGATTTCATGGTTTATTTAAATTCTAAACTAAGCACCTTTGATGATTTTGAAGAATATTAAATGAATGATAAGTTCCATGAGAAAACTAGGGCTTAAAGAAGAACGATAAGTTTTGGGCTCTAATATACTTGGTGTGAATTTGATGTATGATTTGATTTATTCTATTATATGAGCATGGTCGGCATGCATGCCATTTTGATATTAGCTATGATCATATGCTAGGCACATGAGTGCCTTTTGTATGAGTGAATTCGCTCTATCTGTTTTTGTTAGGCTTTTAAAGCCCCTCTGATTCTGTTGGCTCTATAGCCATTTTGATTCTAAAATCTTATTTACTTCATTTTCTCCTAAGTGTATATGAGCCCTCAAAAGTAAAATATTTAAAAGAATGTAACCTAATAGCATAATATCTCATAAATGTACTTGTGATTATAACTCATCTGTGTGATTTACATGCTTGAACTTTATAGTTTATGCACGTTGTGTTTAATGAGACTAAACGAAATGATGGTAGCTATACATAGGTGCTTATACTAATAAATGGAGCTATGTACTAGGCTTTTGTGAAATCCAAACCTAAATGTTTACCATGCCTATATATATTGCATAAATGCATAAGAAATTGATTATATGATATTAGTTTAGTAGTATGTATTTAAGATTTATGGCATGCATAATTAAGTATTATTGGAGAATGTTTTATATTGGGTATATGTAAACTTAAATATTATTAGAGTTTGATTTATTTGGCATATGTATAAGGAGTTAAATATGGATTTATGTAATATCAAGATGTAGAAATTTCTTTTAAGTGAATTATGTATGGCTTGGATTTATGAGACTTATGATATATGAATGTTCCAAGTTTGATGTTTATTATGGTAATAATGAGAAAATGAATGCTTATGTATGTGTGAAAGTTGATTTTGTGTTAAGTTGATTATTAGAGTTTTTTGGATGATTGAGGTTTTGAATTAGAAGTATTTTGTATTCACGGGTTTTAGTTAAGTCCAATTTTTAGGGAAAACTCTTGCAGTTTTTTTGTAGGATTTTCCCAAAATAATTTTCTAAGTTAAAGTTTAGGACTTACTATACTTGTGAATACTAATCACTCTTAATTCATAAATTAGTTTTAGGTTTGATCTGTTAGCTAGAATGGTGCCTCCAGCATCAAATGTGGCGTTTGCTATCTAAATCCTTTGGGATCGGGCAGCAGATGTTACATTTAGTGGTATCAGGGCTGAGGTTTAGGCGGTTCTAGTTTTATGTCTAATTTAAGGATTGTAAATGATTAAGTGAAGATACATGCCATATAAGCTTGATAAATAATATGACTCTGAGGCGAATCTTTTATGAAATTTTTTTTGGAGATAGAATGTGGATAAATGTGTTGGATTTTGATAGTAATATGACCTACTATTGGAGAGCAGTGTCATACTAAGTACTATATGTAAAGGTTGTCATTGATGATTTTTAATTATATCCTTCTAGATAGTTTGGAAGAATTATTGTTTGGAGAAATCTTTGGGAGTTAATGACAGAACTTTGATGTGATTATTGGAGAGATGATGATTTTTTTTTTTGAAGCAGTAAGGGATCTGTTTTCTTTTCTCTTTAGAGTTGATATGATTTCCATGTACTTTGACTATGCTTGAGATTTAATTTGCAATTATGAATTTTGATTTTGAAATTGATTTGCACCTATGATGGTGATAGTATGAATATGTTAAAGCAGAATTTATGTAACTTGAATTCTTAAGAACTCTATCTTTTTACTTTGTCAGTGAAGGACTTGATTTTTGTTATGAATATTTTTCCTTCCTAGATGCTTGAATGTAAGAAAAAAGGGCTTTCAAATGAGGTTTTACAGAGATTTTAAAAGACGAATAGATTGCTTTGTAAATGAAAATGAAATTATACGTGTAGATTCATGTGTTTATGGAAGTATGATGACTTATGAATTTATTATATATGAAGATGGCATTTGTATGAAATCTAAGTATGCTAAGTGATGTATGAACTCATATGAAGTCTATGCGTGAAACATGAATGTATGTACATATATACCCAGTGAAAGATATGTTGGGAATGAGTTGCTAGAATTACCAAATAAATGAACTATATGATTTGAACTTGAGCATATTGGATTTTATATTATTGAAGTGTGATAGTATATGAATTTTGATGAGATTTGCATGGACTTTTGGCTAGAGAGTAGTCATGATTATAAGGATAACCACTTTTAGTGAATTAAAAAGAGTATGTAGTATAATTGCACAAGTGTAAATTTTGAGACTTAGATGTACATGTTATGATGTAGCTCACTTTGGATATGAAAAAAATGATTACTTTTTATGAGGAATAATAATAATACCTTGTGGAGCAAAGTATATTTTAATTTTTTATAAGTCATTTATGAGATATATGAATAATATGGATTGTTATGATTATAAGAAGAGTAAATTGTTGTTTTGGTGAGAATTGTAACACTTATGTGCCAATTATTAGAGTTTATATAATTGTGGCACCCTATGGTTGATTATGGAATAAGTAAGGAATTTGATTCTCATGAGGTTATGTTGTTTTTTTATATTTGAGGGATCTATTGAATCCTAGATGCTATATAGACTATGTGCAAGGATTTTGATTTAATGAGAGATTTTATGATTTTAGAAAAAGTGAATGACTTTTTTAAGAAATTTAAGATGAATATGCCTATATAAATATCGTGTCATGAGGATTAAAAGAAATGGGTGAATGACATCGAGCATGAAGAGGTAGTTAGTTCAATATTTAATTGATATTTAGGTCAACGAATTTGATAAGTGAGAATGAATATAATTGTGCTAGTATGTTAACATAAAGAAAGAACCAACTATGAAAATTGGAAGAAGTATGATTTCTCATGATTTTGATGGAATTTAAAATTTTGGTTACC